GGGGGGGGGGGGGGGGGGCTGACTGGTCATTCTGGTATGGTTTTCTTATGAATTTGGCCGAATCAATTGACTTACCCATTTTTGACCGAAAGTTTGTAAACACACTATTTCAATAATTGTTTTTAATTAGCTGTGTGATGCATTACTAATTTTATTTTTCTGCTCTTTCAAATATTCTGAAAACATCCATAAAATATTAGTTATTCAATTGGCGCAAACATTTTCTGTTGAGAAATTTTTAAACTAACTTAACTTTTTTAAACTGTTTTTTTTTTAAATTTAAAACAATTGGCATATTCGACTTCTCAAAAATGTATAATTATTCCATTTGAGATTAATCATAAGTTATAATAGATTATTTCAAATTATGTAAATAAAATAAAAATAAAACAAATGTCATAAAAGAAGTATTGTTCAACTAAATGGTTTGGTCCATGGCGAATGTACGCAACGTTTTATTTTTTAAATAAGTCATTTTTCATTTTTGTGACTTAATGAATTTAATTTAAGCATGTATCAATGAAAATATTATCACATTTTAGGAATTTTTAATTTGGTCGAAAATGAGATAAATTCACGACTGAGACTTCAATTTCGGCAAATTTGTAATTGACCCAGTCTGAGAAACTATTGAATAGTCTGTAGTGTTTAGTGAGTTTCAAATTGGGATCCTGACGCAGGTAAATTAAAAAAGATAAAATGTGGGTAAGTTTTAACTTTTTGCAATTATGTCCAATAATTGAAGCAATCTCCGTTAAAACTCGTCTTAAGTCATTTTAATAGATATGAGAAAACTAACTTTAGAAACCTCCGCTTATCTGTACTAGCTGGAGTGTAGATGACTTACAAGTATTTGAGAATTTTAGAAATTATATTATTAGCCTTATTTATTGTCATGAAATATTTATAATTAATTGAAAGGCAGAGTGGATGAAGCAGGTAAGTGAAATTTGACTAAATTAGCTTTAAAGTTTATACCTTGGTGTGTTTTTGTGATAGGGAAATAAAGACTATGCCATGATTTTATTTGTTTTTTCGAGTAGTGATTAATTGGTTGAATAGATAGGTCCCCAACGCTTGTTGGAACTATTCGCATGTTAGTATTTGTTAGTATTTGCACTCTTGATGTGTTAATATGCTGCAAAAAAACAGGTTTTCAAATATTTTTTCCAAGTGCACTTGGAACCTTACTTTCGCTCTAAAAACACTTAATATATTTTCTTTAAAGTTAAATGACTAATCAAAATATATCTGTTGACTAGAATAAAATAAAGAAATTTTTGTTTTTGTTTTGTTTTTTTCTTTTTTTTTTCTTCCAAAAATTTTGCTGAGATTGTGAAAAACTCAACGACCATGTGGTACTGATTTTTGATCAGATTCTCTAGATGATTTCTTTCAGATTTTTAATCTGAAAGGGTATTAGCTGGAAAAAAATAGTAAAACTTTCATATATATATCACCATAAGATATCTATTTATGCTTCCGTTTTCATATCTTGTAATCTGGCAATCTTATTACGAAAATATTTTTAATCATTCTTGAAAGATTCCGGTACGCGTAAGTTCATTTTAATTCGCTCCTCACTATATAGATTTTCTTTCATGTACTGTTCTGTAATTTCTTTTACATTTTATTTTCTGTTCTTTGCTTGATATGTTTTATTTCGTATATATTTTTACTTAATGTGTTCGATTTTCGTTTCAATTTTTTTAGTGCTCCTCACACTATTGTATTGATACATTTTGCTTTGGCTATATTGCTAAAATATTAGAAAGCACTCCTTTTTTGCCGATATAATCGTGTGAGCTGATGAAGAGATTATATCGTTTTTTTTTTATTTTGTTTTCCTGATTTTTAATTTTTTTTAGATAATTGAAAGACAATATATAAATAATTCAAGTATTCAAAATCTTTGAATAATAAATGTAAGGCTTTTTCTAGAAACTTTGGCAAATCTGTCAATGATTTTTTCAACATCAAAGCAATGTCAACATCCAAATCAATCAATGGTGAACATAATTAGATGGAAAAAAAAAACAATTTTTTCGACCTATCTAGGTGTATACGCCCCCTTAAATAATTTTTTAAATATTTTTTTTTTCTTTTGTAAACTATTAAAAAAATTATTATTTTTAATTTTTTTTTCAATTTTGGGGGGACTGTGACCCTCCCACTCCCCCCCGCGCTGAATCCGCCACTGTATCAAACCAAAGCTGGGCAAAATTTTCGAAAATACGAGATCGACTTAAAAATAGAATTTATGCTTGAGTTAGCTTTGATTTATTTTTTTAACTTGATTTTTATTTCTTTAAACCTATTTAATATGATTTTTTTTATTTCTTGTAAAACAAAACATGAACACAAAAAAAATATTCGTAAGTAATACTCATACTATGTGTTATACTTACTATGAATCATTCTCACTTTGTTACTTTTTGCTCGTTATTCTAAAAAATTGCGAAATCTTTCACACGAACTGTTTTTTTTTATTTATTTATTTAATGCAACAGTCATGATACGGTGATTATACATATATTATTGCTTTTAAATTCTAAATCTATCGTGTTTCATTTGAATCTAGAAAAATCAGATATGTTACGCATTCAAGATATAAAATTTGGCTCAGTGAAATGCGTTGCATTTTAATTCGGATTAAATTTAAGTAAGTATAATTTCATTTTGATGCTAAATTATTTGCATAGAGTTTTTAATTAAGAACGTATGAGTTAAGAAGGTTAAATTATTTTAGACAGTGAATTAAATTTCATTAATTAATTATTTAAGACATTAGAATTAAAATTTCTATTAAGTTCAAAAAAATAAAATCTGCTTGACTTAGAAACTTAAAATTACTAAGGTGTGTAGAGAAATGGATAGGAATTACAATGGAATAAAAATATTTAACACTCGATTATTTTCCCGACAATTATTTATTTTTAAACTTCCAGAATAAAAAAATACCATAGGGGCCACTCTGCAATGACATGCTATAAAGGCCTGTTTTGCTTATGATCCCAACGCGAACTTTTTTAAAAATTCTAATTTATTCAAATTTTTTCTCAGTTTTTTTGTTTTATGTTATATATTGTAATTATGTATTATATGTAATTATATAACATTTTATGTGATTACTTAATGTGCAAAAATTTCACTAATTAAAAAAATTAGAACTAAATTGAACATTTTTGTATGTTGACTATATAAGGGAAAATGAAATGTAAAATAAAAATATTCGTTATAAATTGTAATCATACAATACATATAATTATATAATATCTATATATATATATTTCTCTTACACGGCTACAAAAAAGCCTCATTACAATTCCCCGAATGGCAACGCTAGAAAATCGGCCAATGATTGCCGCTAAAAATGTCACATGCCAAATCTAGCTGAGGAGGTATAGCTCTTTTAAAAACGGAAACTGAAATAACCTTAAGCTAGGCAGAAGTGAGTAGTCTTTGTCGATAGATCTCAATTTTAGTATTTTGTCGAAAGCGCTTTTTTTCACGAATTTATATATTACGAATTTATTTAACGATTTTTTATTTATATCACGAATTTATTTGTTTTATTATTGTTATTAGTAATTCATTGAAAAATGAGTCTCAGTCATGCTGTTACGCTTTAAAATTTTATACTATAACACATTTCTAATAGGTTTAACGAATTACATGCTATTTATTTGAATTCAAATTTATTTTAATGACTTAGTATTTACTAAAAAGATGTAATATTTTTTTTAAAAAAAAGTTGTTATATGGATTTGAATGATTGTTTTGAATTCTTAAAATTTTGTGTACTTGCAATGTACCTAAGTTAGTGACGAGCGATGCGAGCTTGGTTTGCAAAGCAAACCATATAAGATTGCGTAGCAAGTTTCGGGGGTTGGCTAGCGTTAGCGAGCAGGGGGCTCAGCCCACTAGTTTTATATAATTAGTTAGCA